TGAGGCAGCGTGACACGTTGTGCGACCATGTTTCAACTATTTGTCATACAACCCGTAATTTCATTATGTTCAGTGGTGTGCTATATTGACTTGTTCTAGAAAGCAAGGTCTTGAAAGCTTTCACCAGAATCAGGGGCGTAGCAACCATTATGAAAAACACACACTGGCTTACACATGATTTTTGCTATGAAAGTTGGGCAAGCCCTTAATACTATCTAGACATATAGCTTTGCAACCTATCGGCCTTACACAAATAAAATGGCTAGCTACGCGCCTGAGAATGATTTTAGTGTATGACTTTTCTAGCACCTTGTTTTTCGTGTTCATTGTGTGTAATGATCATACCCTGGATACTCTCTAAGTCTTTATTCCAAGTTTCTGAGAGGTGAATATCGTCATCATTGTCTTATAGCCATTGTTATAACATCTCTTCTTGTAGCATATAAACTCTTCTGATCTTGACCAGCCCATTCTTGTCGTAAGAGGCGACTGACGGGATCGAATTGGTCAGGCTCGTTGACTTGGTTGACACATGTCATTGTATCCCAATTGCGTAGACCGATGCTCATGATGTTGATCACTGGTTTATCTGGTCCAGACTTGATTATTTACACACCGGCATATAGATCTAACATATATTGCTGAGCGCGGCGTAAAAGTTAACTCACTCACTTACTATTATATTGCCTCCAAGTTTGTACTGCCACACAATTTTGTATTGTTATAGTGATACCTCTGTCAATTGTAAACGTTTATTTTTAGTACACCTGTTAATTATAACACTCTGTACACACACACGGACCCAATCCACCTCTTGTTGGACCAGGAAGTCAGCTCAACAAATGTTTTACCAATGAAATAGATGCTTGCAATCTTTCTACTGCGACACATACTGCCCTACATCTCTTCCTTGTCTGGGGTGCCAGTTCAACAGGTTCTTTACACATGAAATCGCTGCTTGTAATCTTTTTATTGCGTAACAGCTCGACCTTGCCTTTGTCGCGATGATAAGATATTCATACATCGCAAACTATTTGTTGATGGGGTTATAAAAAGGTGGGAGACACAGTGACCTAAACAATTTGACATTTTCTATGACATGAATGAAACAACGGCGTAAAATTATGTTCACTTAATGTCTCCAACGAGACAGCTTTTATGCGTCGGAGTTTCCTCCACAATTCTTCAGTCAGCTATTTGTCATCCTTAAATAATCTTTCAACAATACACACGGATAGCCAATTACACAATTCGCTGTGCAGAGTAGCGTCCCTTTGGAACAACAGAAACCTAATACTTGAGTTCGAATCCCAGTTTGCCCCGATTATGCTTCTAGGCCAGTCAGTACCATACCAATGCGAGTGGGTGACAAACGTTTACCTCCAGCTTCAGATATTTTCGAGGAACTGTTGTAATGAAGAGATTTTTCGTCATTTCATTTATAGGCAATAACAAGTACCATTTTTGTTGCGGAGACAATTGGATTGAAAGCATTCTTCAGCTTTTCACATTCCAATGGTATCCTATAGTTACTTTGCTGTTCCAGCAAACCGCACAACCTCACTGTTCCTTTATTGGTACAATAAAAACGTGAGACTCCAAAATGTGCATGACAAAAATGAGAAAACACTGTAAACGACATGATTGAAAATGGCCAGTCAGATAATGCAGATGTTATTCGGTAAATTTGCTAAATTTGTTTCATCTAGAAGTGTGATATCCCAAGCGATCAACTCATCACCAAACCATACTCTAAAAGGTATGAAGAGGGAGGTGAAGATGAGAATTCAACTCCATCATTTCTTTACACATCTGTTCTGAATAATCACGGTGTTACAAGATGTTGTGGGAGTGTAAAGCCGACAAGAAGGACGAGAGAACACACAGATATCCACCGTCATGTGTTTATTCCACTAAAAGACGGACCGAGCAAAGACAGCATGTTGTTACACGGTCCGCCCTTAACTTCAGGTCATTCCATAAATATTGTTCCTCGTGTATATCAGTAATCTGATGTAGTTTTATAACTTTCAAATAACCAAGACTCTTTATCTGATTGGCCACCGGGACTATAGATATAGGAGACATATAAGGCTGCCGTGTCTGCTTCACATGTGGAGGGCGGTGGGGTAGCCTAGTGGTTAAAAGCGTTAAAGCGAAGACGGTAGTAGATGTAACACTCTCTTATTGATCTCCCTGAGCGACTACTGGACTTACTCAAGTCTTTAATGAGTTGCTGGTCGACTCAACTTGAGGTGTACTCGCTAGGAGCAGGTGCAGACTTCGGAATCTATTCAATCAGAAGGGGATATTCCAGGGGACCCCCTTTAGTCCTTTGCTTTTTGTTTGTCTTTAAATCTCTTGCGTTGTCTGCTTAATAGAGAGAAGGCTTACCATATCGGACCTCCTCAGCACAGATCCCAACACCACTTACTCATCTCCTTTACATGGATGACATCGAGCTCCTTGCCAAAGGAGATACCAATTAGAAAGAACAGGTCCTCCTTGTTGAGTCCTTTTTGTGTACCTTTGCACATATTTTTTATCAAATGATCCTCTCGAGACTCTGTCAAGATTTATGATGAAAGCATGGAATTCCACGTCGTGCCAAGGTTATTGGATGAATCTGAAATTTGAGGTTGCGTTTGTTGATGGCGATGTACTGCTGGACGGTACAGCGATCGGAGTAAACCAGGTGAAGTCCTTCACCAAGTCTGCCCAGAGTCGGTCATTTGAATCAGCTTTCTGAGAAACCATTGCATCGTGTATATATGCAGTGTGCGGAACAAAATAGTAGTCCAATCGACTCCTTCGCGTGGATAAAGTCGGCTGGTCCTAAATGTGAAACAGAGGACTTCCTGTTTGCTGCCCAAGACCAGTCACTTTCCTGTCGCAATCGCCAAAATGTGATTTTATAAGAAAATAAACTGAGGGGCAAAGAAACGTCCCCAAAGTAAAATTTGAAAAACAGTTGTTCTGTTGTCGTTATGACGGAAATTTATTTAGGAACACATCTCCCGAACGCATCCCCACGTCTCACAGAAAGGAAATCCACGTGGAGTTTTTGTAAGCATGAAAATTGCTTTTATTCACGTTTTTGCATGCTTCGGTGGAAACATACCAATATGAAAGTACAGTATAAAAATTATGCTCGACTGTTCGAATTCATCACTTCATACGTTGGACACAAAAGAACATGCCTCGACTCACGGCAGAACAGAGAGAACGAGCTATTGGGATGTTGCAGCTGGGTGCTTCTCACAGTCACGTTGCAAGAATCATGGGTTGCAGCAAGAAAAACCATCACCAGACTGATGACACGCTTCAGAACAACAGGTCGGACTGCAGACGGGCCTAGGACAGGAGACCACCCGTAACCACCCCCTCAGGAAGACCGCCATTTACGGGTGCTTCACTTGCGCAACAGATTCCTGACTGTGACGTCATCAGCAACAACCAGCCTTACCCATCCAGTCAGTAGAAGGACCATATCCAGACGACCCCGCCGATTCGGTATCAGGAGCCTACAGACCATTCCGGGGCGTGACGTTAACGCGTGAACATCGACGTCGTCGCTTGGCTTGGGCACGTAGAGTTCGGCAGTGGCAGCCGCGAACTGGCGCCGGGTACTCTTCAGTGACGAGAGCCGCTTCCAGTTGAACAAAGCTGATGGTCGGGTACGCCAGTCTGAACGTCGGAACAGAACGCACAGCACGTTGTTGCTTTGGCTCAAGCTCTACAGGAAGAATGGCGTCGCATCCCAGATCACGTGATCAGACGTCTTGTGCACTCTGCACGACGTCGTGTGGCAGCATGCATCGCTGCAAGAGGTGGACACACTCGCTACTGAGGAGTTGGACGCTCAAAGACACTCTGTCAGTACTGATGTGCATGTGTTGTCATGATCGAAACCCGGACATTTGAACCTCCTGTGAAAAACGTCACAAAACTCTACTTACAGCAAATTGTTTCAATTGTTCTGTAATGACAGTCTGCATAATATGTTCAAAGCAATTATATAAAACATTTCAACATTGAATTGCACGTGTTTGTATCATTTTATGATAAAAATGATCGGGGACGTTTCTTTTGCCCCTCAGTTTATTAACATGAAATGTCGATTATGCATTGAATTTACAGAGACCAGCACCTTGTCACTGGATGTCCTTCCTTGGCACAAACAGCATATCGTAAACGACATGATGGCTCGTGGCTTTTTGACTTTTACCATGCCTGTCTTTGATAGGTCCTTCCATTGTACGACCCAAACCCGGGCGTCTTGTCCTGTTTTATAAAACAAACCTATGAATTTATTTATGTTATTGAATTTTCTGCCCCTTTTGACAGCAACGTGATTGACAAGATTCAGGAAAAGCATGATAAATATGCGGACCTCACCTTTGAAATGTCTCGCTTGCATCCCATGTACACTGTCGTCAATTCTCCCCATTGATCTCGGTGCCCTTGGTTTTGTATCTCCTGATCTCTTGGAGCAGATCAGGAGAGTGTCCGGGTTCTCCGTCATCAGGAGCACAGCCCTTCTGACACTGTGGGTAATACAGAAGGCTGCAGTGTTGGGGAGTCTACATATTCTCCGGAAAGTTCTTGGTGGGTTCGACACAGGCAGCGTTTCCTAAGAGAAGTCCCATTCGCTGTCTGGGCTGGGTGTAGAGAGGGCAAGGGCCCTGAGCTGATGATGAGCCTTACCAACCTGACTGTGCCACGATCACCCGAACCCTCTCTGCTGCATACTATCTTTAATCTGTTGAACATTGTTTGTTTGTTATTTAACTCAGAAATATTCCTGTAAATAATCGATCCTGGACCAGACAATCTAGTGAGCAGAATCGTAAAACTAAAAATCATCACCATAATTTCGCACACACTTCCAGGGGACGTTACTCTTTGCACCTCCTGGTAATCCGTCTTAGGTATTTCAGGATATCGCCCACCATGATGATATATGTGACGGAAACAGCAAAATGGATTACAGCTCAAGATTCATTTAACATGTTTATTTTACTAGGTATGTTATCCTTTATAGGTATTTACATATTATGCAATGATTACAAATCCAGGTTTCATATGTTGGAATAAAAACATCAACACCTAGTAGCACTGAGCAAACGAATGTACGAGTATTTACACTTCATATATAGACATGTTAACAACGTTCTAGGATGACAAAGCTGCAATTCCTGAACTGTTAAGACGTTAGCCTGGTGACCTTACACTGTTTGACTGAGAGAGAGACTGTGACTGACACTGTAAATGAGGGGCTGAGTGAGTGAGTGAGTATGGTTTTACGCCACTTTTAGAAATATTTCAGCAATATCACAGTGGGGGACATAGGAAATGGGCTTCAGACATTGTACCTATGTGGGGAACGAACCTTGGTCTTCGGCGTGACGAGAGAACGTTTCAACCACCGCCCCATGAGGGGCTGAGACTATGAGACTATAACCCTGTGTTATGTGACTGTATGATACACGATGTACAATCTACTGGGGTATATGTGTAGCTAGAGTGAGTGAGTTTAGTTATACCCCACACTCAGCAATATTCAAGCTAGAAATACGTGCTGTAAGGTATGTTAGGCGTGATGCAGTGGCTATGTCATCTGGAAGGCTTGTCCATTTCGTGTTGAACCTGTTCCTCTCACACCTTGTGGTCACTGATGCTTCTAAAGACAGTAATTGTATTGCCTCATTCAAAATATGTCTCCACTTTGTCAAGCTGCAGCATTCAGGTCAATGCTACTCTAAATGGAATCATGCGTGATGTGGGTATCATATGGTCATGGGTACTATGTGATGGTTGACACAGGTGATGTAAGGTGTCATATGGTGATGGGTACCACGTGTTGATTGACACAGGTGATGTAAGGTGTCATATGGTTTTGGATACCATGTGATGGTTGACACAGGTGATGTAAGGTGTCATATGGTTTTGGATACCATGTGATGGTTGACACAGGTGATGCAAGGTGTCATATGGTTTTGGATACCACGTGTTGGTTGATACATGTGATGTAAGGTGTCATATGGTTTTGGATACCATGTGATGGTGGACACAGGTGATGTAAGGTGTCGTATGGTGATGGGTACCACGTGTTGGTTGACACAGGCGGTGTAAAGTATCATATGGTTATGGGTATCACGTGTTGGTTGACACAGGCGGTGTAAAGTATCATATGGTTATGGGTATCACGTGTTGGTTGACACAGGCGGTGTAAAGTATCATATGGTTTTGGATACCACGTGTTGGTTGACACAGGCGATGTAAAATATCATATGGTTTTGGATACCACGTGTTGGTTGACACAGGCGGTGTAAAGTATCATATGGTTTTGGATACAACGTGTTGGTTGACACAGGCGATGTAAAGTATCATATGGTTTTGGATACCACGTGTTGGTTGACACAGGCGATGTAAAGTATCATATGGTTTTGGATACCACGTGTTGGTTGACACAGGCGGTGTAAAGTATCATATGGTTATGGGTATCACATGAAGTTTGACACTAGTGATGGTATCATGTGGTGATTTGTACAACGTGAAGATTAACACAAGTAATGAAAGGTATCACATAGTAATGGGTACCATGTGAATGTTGACAGAAGTGGTGTAAGGTATCATATGGAGATCGATACCAAGTGATGGTTGACACAGGTGGTGTAAGGTATCATATGGTAATGTATACCATGTGATGATTGAGGTTGACACAGGTGGTGTACGGTATCATGTACTGATGGATGCCAAGTGGAGGTGGACACAGGTGGAGAAAGGTATGATATGAACATCCTTGATGACCGGCTTATGAGTCCGCGGCTCCGAAAGCTGAAATATACAGACACATATGATATAGAAGACCTATACCGTTTGGGACACGCTACACGTACATCATGCACGCACTGAAACTAGATTTCCATCTTCCTGTTAATAGTGCTGATACAACAAAAGTAATACTAAAGTACTGAGGACCGGGATGTTACAATATATATCGCCTGGCTGACCGTGTACTATGGCAGCATGACGTAGTCAATTGTTATCAATCACCGGTTTGGTCGGGATATATTCCTTCATTTCCATAATTACCGGATAAATATGGTATCTGCCTTCACAACACTTCTGTATATATCTCACCTTTCTCCTTGAGGCCGTTGTCGTAGTTCCTGAAGATAAAGTAGGTGAGGATAATGACGGCGACCCGAACTGCTGCTGCCAGAAAGCCTGCGGTGATGGAGCACGCCGCTAGCGCCGGGGCCACTGTCAGCCGTGTAAACGCCTGCAGGTATGCATAGTCATACATATGTGAAATAGTAACATTAGTAACGGGAGTGCGAGGGCATTCAAGTGTATTACTGTAGGCCATTCTGTGTCAATAGTGGCTAATTCTGTGGGACTAGCACTCAGTCATTCCTAAGGTATAACAACTACAAACTAGGTATTACTGTAGGTCATTCTGTGTCAGTAGTGGGTAATTCTGTGGGACTAGCGGTCAGTCATTCCTAAGGTATAACAACTACAAACTAGGTATTACTGTAGGTCATTCTGTGTCAGTAGTGGGTAATTCTGTGGGACTAGCGGTCAGTCATTCCTAACGTATAACAACTACAAACTAGGTATTACTGTAGGTCATTCTGTGTCAGTAGTGGCTCATTCTGTGGGACTATCGCTCAGTCATTCCTAAGATATAACAACTACAATCTAGGTATTACTGTAGGTCATTCTGTGTCAGTAGTGGCTCATTCTGTGGGACTAGCACTCAGTCATTCCTAAGGTATAACAACTACAAACTAGGTATTACTGTAGGTCATTCTGTGTCAGTAGTGGCTAATTCTGTGGGACTAGCGGTCAGTCATTCCTAACGTATAACAACTACAAACTAGGTATTACTGTAGGTCATTCTGTGTCAGTAGTGGCTCATTCTGTGGGACTAGCACTCAGTCATTCCTAAGGTATAACAACTACAAACTAGGTATTACTGTAGGTCATTCTGTGTCAGTAGTGGCTAATTCTGTGGGACTATCGCTCAGTCATTCCTAAGGTATAACGACTACAATCTAGGTATTACTGTAGGTCATTCTGTGTCAGTAGTGGCTCATTCTGTGGGACTAGCACTCAGTCATTCCTAAGGTATAGCAACTACAAACTAGGTATTACTGTAAGCAATTCTGTGTCAGTAGTGGGTAATTCTGTGGGACTAGCACTCAGTCATTCCTAAGGTATAACAACTACAAACTAGGTATTACTGTAGGTCATTCTGTGTCAGTAGTGGCTCATTCTGTGGTAGTGTTTGTGCACTCAAATGTCTTAATGTAATTTATTCCAGTGTATTTGTGTATTACGTCGTAGTAACTATATAATCACCATTGTTAGTACGAGATCATAGATCATTCTTTGTTAGCACTCTGTAATTTCATAGTACTACTGGGTGTCTTCATGTCCATGGTAGTACGAGATCATTTTACAGTAATAACGTAGGTAATGCTTGTGACGTTTTCGGTGTGAAACGCTCGTTTAAAAATGAATAAAGCGCACGGCATGATCACAAACCTTGGTTCGGCCAAGAATGCAGAGATAAACGTAATGACTTTCATGAATCCAAACGCAAATACTTTAATTGCAAAACATCTCTTAATAAAGCTGAGTACCGCCGATGTTCTAAAGAGTATATTAAGTGTATGAATAAGCATATCAAGCAGCATAAAAATGAATTTTGTAAATTGATTAGAGACAAAGAAAAGCACAAGCCTAAAGAATTTTGGAATATGCCCACAAAGAGTAAAATTAATATCTCTAGTAACGTTTATGATATTGATAAATATTTTGAACATTTTAAAGATATAAATGGGAAACACATTTCGATTACCCCGAAATAGACCGCGAAATCATCGAAAAAGGCTACTATGACTACATGCTTAATAAAGATATATCACTTGAAGAAATAGCTTTTGCAATTAAAAACCTTAACGCAATAAAGCCCCTTATAGATTCATTTGATCTACTTGGTGCTACATATGTTGAACACTTTAATTTGATTTTATCAACGGGAATATTACCGGAAGCATGGTTGGCGGGCTCTATCAAACCCAACTACAAAGGAAAGGGAGATAAATCTGACCCAAACGCATATCGACCAATTACGATACTCAGCTGTTTCGGTAAACTGTTCACATGTACTAGTTTTCTGAATAACACACCTTTCTTGAAATAAAGAATATATTAATCCCTGCCCAGGCGGGTTTTAGGAATGATCACTCAACAAATGATAACATCTTTGTAATGAATATGCTCAACCAATTATTTAAACCTAGTAAAAGAAAATTGTTCTGTGCTTTTATTGACTTTTCAAAAGCGTTTGATTATGTATGGAGGGTTGGGTTCTGGCATAAGCTACTCAACAATGGAATTTATGGCAGATTTTTAACTCTTGTTCAAAATATGTATGCTAATATCAAATATTGTGTACTATCAAACAATAATATGTCAGATTACTGCCATGCTACTCTGGCGTGCGCCAAGGTGGTAACATTTCCCCTCTTTTGTTCTGTTTATTCATAAATGACCTGGAGGAATTCCTTACTTATGATGAATGTACATCTGTGAGTCTTTGTAACTTCCCAGATTTTGATATGAACCTATGTATTTCATTTATGATACTACTTTATGCAGATGACACAGTCCTTTTTGCCGACTCAGCTCCTGAACTTCAACGTACTCTTAACTCATTCCATACATATTGTAACATGTGGCATCTGGAAGTAAACCTAGATAAAACAAAGGTACTTATATTTGGGAGCGGTCCAGCAAAATACTCTAAGCTAAAGTTCCATTATGGAAATACTTTGATTGGCATTGTAGATGATTACATTTATCTTGGAGTGACTTTCAAAAAGAAACAGCAAATTCAATAAAGCAATAAAAAAAACCTTTCAGACAGCGCACCAAAGCTATGTTTTGCCTTTTGAAAAAAAAATCAAGAAACTGTAATACACCTATAGATTGTTTACTGAAAGCATTTGATGTTATGATATCACCGATCGTGCTTTATGGTTGTGAAACATGGGCATATGAACATTTACAAGTTATTGTGAAGATTCATTTGAGATTTCTTGAATTAGCTTTTTTATGTATTAGCCGCTAAAAGGGTAATCTGTTTACTGGTATAAGCTACATTCTGTTGGAACTGCTCCAAAACTATCAAAATTGATTTATAATTATGCACTTATCCAAGGCGTTAGAGAAAATGAATATGATATTAGGACCAAAGACGCAAAAGGTATGCTTGATAAATGTGGCCTATCCTATATATACAGTATATTTTAAAGCCCCGTAAATGTTTCATGCCAATGGCTAACTTCTCAGGTAGAATCAATTTTTAAAAGTTTGAAAGTTGACATAGAAAATAGCCCTAAAGATTTCTATTACACATACATTAAAAATCTCCTGATTTTAGAAAACTATCTCTTCCTGCCGGCTTATGTACATATACCAACTTTAAAATACAGAACCTATAACCCTAACCTACCTGTTGAAGTCGGCCGTTGGCATGGCATTGATTGTGAAAATAGAACCTGCAATCTCTGTAAATCACCTGCTGTAGCAGATGAATTTCATTATTTATTTAAATGCCAAGTTTTTATTGAAAAAAGAAAGAAATACATTCCCATTAAATACTTATCTTTCCCTAATCTAATGACTTATAAAACCTATTTTTGAAACAAAATCTTGCACAATCACAAAATACGTAAACTTAGTTGATAAAAGTGTGAAAAAAACTAAATAATTATATTGTAAACGGTAACTATGTTGTATTAATGTTGTTAATCTACTGGGGTATTACTATATTTTTAAGAGACGTATATTTTATATTTTGTATCCTTCTCAAATGTATACATTTACTTACGGGATTATCTTCATTTTTACCTTACCTTGACAATTTTATAAATGACATAGCAGAGATCCAGAGGACTCAGACCCCAAAACACATATGTCATGATCTTGCTCTCGTGGCGCACCTGCAACAAGGCAGAACCGCATGAAGTTTGACACAGGTTTCATATGGTGATGGGTACCAGGTGATGTTTAACGGAAGTGATGAAAGGTATCATATGGTGATGGGTACCACGTGTGTGATATACAGTTAAATACAACAGTTGTGTTCTACTTCGCGTTTCGATGGGGAAACGTTTGATGATAGATGTCACTTTATATGAGAACAACACACTTCAGCAGTTCGATGGTGTCACTGCACCCCAAAGATGCAAATATTTCAGCATACATAAAAAACGCTGGCTAAAATATGAGTTACTTGTTTCTGTTAACAATTTCCATAGACAATTTGTGATCACAGATTTGAAAGAATATTTAGTGCTTAACATAATTTAACATTGCTTACACATGCATGTCCCAAGAAGAACCAGCCTATGGTTACGACGATACCGACACAGAGAACAACGATGTCAAGTGTGTTGATATTGACGCCGTTTACAAGAATCAGGATAACCATGGTGATCTGAAATGTAAATATCAATAAACATTTACAGCTTCAATATTTAGAGTACAAGCAATTCGTTCTCTAGAACACTGGTTTTCTTTGAAGAGTAGATTTACGGCTACTGTAGCTCAGCTTGTGTTTTAGGAAGCGAAAAAGCTGTCCCAACTGTTACATAGTCATATTCCACCAGCCACATACACTAGTTTGACATGTAGTAACAGTATATCACCCTGAATCAGGGAAATACACTGTATGAGAACATCACGGAGATTACTACACTAGTGTCTGTCTCGTTCTGAATAATTGACCAGTTGAATACCAGGTCCAGGTAAATCAGGGAAATGTAAAACATTAAAGATATAGAGATTCCTACAGAAGTGTCCGTCATTGTGGCCATACTACGTTCTTTAATGCTTTATTTGAACCAAACACCCAAAGACACTTTATTAAACCCATTTATATATTAAAGATGTAAGAATGACATTAAACAATATCGATCATGTCTCGTTTAAAGGTTTACGTGCAAATAGAAGGTTGCAGGTGGGAACACGTCTGAATATTGTCAACACGCTGCATGTTTCTCAGTCTGTCCCCAGCTGATTGCGGACCGGATGCCAACAGACACATAACGTCGATGATCGACGCTCTTAGGACGCCACTGTGCCAACGTGTACAACGTGTTGGGCAACGTTTCCTCATTCAAGATGATAATGCATGTGCTTTTCGTGCCAGGTTTGAGACACCATTCGTCCAACAGCAAAACATCCATGTTACGCCCTGACCAGCACTTAGTCATAACTTCCTCCTCCTTGGACATGTCTGGGACCCACTCTCACTGAACTCAGTGCTGCTCTCGGGGGACTCAGTGCTGCTCTCGGTGAACTCAGTGCTGCCTCATTGACCTGGACTGGGATGTCAAAGTCTAATCCAGCCACCTCTCCCATTGATCTCAGTGCTGCAGTTAATGAACTCTCGGTGAACTCAATGCTGCTCTCGGTGAACTCAGTGCTGCCTCATTGACCTGGTCTGGGACGTCAAAGTCTAATCCAGCCACCTCTCTCATTGATCTCAATGCTGCAGTTAATGAACTCTCGGTGAACTCAATGCTGCTCTCGGTGAACTCAGTGCTGTCTCGTTGACCTGGTCTGGGACGTCAAAGTCTAATCCAGCCACCTCTCTCATTGATCTCAGTGCTGCAGTTAATGAACTCTCTCAGTGAACTCAGTGCTGCCTCGTTGACCTGGTCTGGGAACTCAATGCTGCTCTCTTGGTGAACTCAGTGCTGTCTCGTTGACCTGGTCTGGGACGTCAAAGTCTAATCCAGCCACCTCTCCCATTGATCTCAGTGCTGCAGTTAATGAACTCTCGGTGAACTCAATGCTGCTCTCGGTGAACTCAGTGCTGTCAGTGCTGGGACGTCAATGTCTCGTCTCTCATGATCCTGGTCTGGGACGTCAAAGTGCTAATCAAAGTCAATCCAGCCACCTCTCCAATTGATCTCAATGCTGCAGTTAATGAACTCTCGGTGAACTCAATGCTGCTCTCGGTGAACTCAGTGCTGTCTCATTGACCTGGTCTTGGACGTCAAAGTCTAATCCAGCCACCTCTCTCATTGAACCTAGTGGTGCTCTTAATGAACTCAGTGCTGTTCTTGGTGTACTCAGTGCTGCCTCGTTGACCTGGTCTTGGACTTCAAAGTCTAATCCAGCCACCTCTCCCATTGATCTCGGTGCTGCAGTCAATGAACTCTCGGTGAACTCAATGCTGCTCACGGTGAACTCAGTGCTGCCTCGTTGACCTGGTCTGGGACTTCAAAGTCTAATCCAGCCACCTCTCCCATTGATCTCGGTGCTGCAGTCAATGAACTCTCGGTGAACTCAATGCTGCTCACGATGAACTCAGTGCTGCCTCGTTGACCTGGTCTGGGACTTCAAAGTCTATTCCAGCTAGACACTCGACGCTCTCATTGATCTCAGTGCTGCTCTAGAAGATCTGTCTTAATGATTCCCATCAGCCCCTACCTTTCTGGCATGAATGTTTGTATGAATGTATTTGTTGCGTAATTATGTATCCGCAATATTCTACATACATGACGATTGCCTGTAGTCAATCGAGTGTGGTTGATATTATGAGTAACATGATTATCTCCCCTACAGCAGGTATGGTGACATAGTATATACTAGAATCCTCACCCCGAGTTGAAGGTCAAGCTTGAGAAGGTCCAGGAAGAGGAAGAGTTTGTTGCACATGGCCTGCAGCATGGAGCTGGCACCGACCGTCCTGAAGATGAGGTTCCCTGACAGCAGGTACTCCCTGCCCAGCCACCCACCCAGCCCCACCACCACGGGCGCAAGGCAGCACGCAATGATCAGCCGGACCTGAAGGAGACAAGCTGAAGTGAGCTGAACATGATTAAACTGAACTGGGTTGGACTGAGCTCAGATGAATTAAACGAAACTGACCAAGTCAAAACATTGAGTACACAACAGTTTCGTGTCCTGCTGACTGGGTTCCGTCCTATTGCGCACCTTAGTACAATAACCAGTCCAGAATTTTGAGACTAATTCATTCAACCGGGTACATAAATATTTATCAGTTTTATTTGATACATCTAAGCACTTGTATATTGCAACACTACGCTCCTTCTAATCCTTGCAAACACGTCGTGCAGCGTGCTCTGTCGTACAGCGTGCTCTGACAAACGGAAATCGTGGAAATCTCAAAACGAGGCTCTACCGCTACCGTTTGGCGGTCTGGTACGGATTTGATATTTTATCAATCACATTGTGCACTGAATAAGTGCAAAGAACACATAACAGGTGTAACCAGTGAGCCAAATGAATTGTGAATCATTTTACGACCTCATCAAACAGACCTCATCAAACAGGCGTCTTAGTTAAGGTCATGCTGCCTAAACCTCGCCATAAAATATAGAAATACAATGTTATTAAAGTTTAGAAATAAAATTAAGTTGTAAATACCATTTTCTTATGAAACAATGAATTGGAATTCAGTGTAACCATAGTTGTTCGTGGTGTCTCTTTTCACTTTTACACGAGAAAATACGGATCGGCTGAAAAGTAGGTCATAGTCTGAATAGGTAAATGAGATTGAGCTGAACTGAACATTGTTTAACTAAACTGGATTGAATTGAGCTCTGATGAGCTAAACTGAACTGAATAAAACTGAACTGAGCTGAGCTGTGCTGAGTGAACCGACCCAACCCGACCCGATCAGACCTGACCTGACCTGAACTAAACTGGAATAAACGTGAACTGACCCGACCCGACCCGACCCGACCCAATCTGACCTGACCCGACCTGACCCGACTCAACCCGACCCGATCAGACCTGGCCTGAACTAAACTGGAATAAAAATGAATTGACCCGACCCGACCCGACCCGACCAGAACTGACCCGACCTGACCTGACCCGACCCGATCAGACCTGACCTGACCTGACCTGAACTAAACTGGAATAAAAGTGAACTGAACTGACCCAACCCGACCTGATTCGATCTGACCTGACCTGAACTAAACTGGAATAAAAGTGAACTGAACCCGATGACCCGACTTGACCTGACCTGATCAGACCCCGGCCTGATCGACCCGGGCCCGACCCGATCCGGTCCGACCTGAACTAAACTGGAATAAAAGTGAACTGACCCTGGTCTGATCCAGATCAGATCTGACCTGACCTGAACTAAACTGGAATAAAAGTGAACTGAACCGACCCAACCCGACCCACCCGACCTGATCAGACCTGACCTGACCTGAACTAAACTGGAATAAAAGTGAACTGACCTGACCCGATCTGACCTGACCTGACCTGAACTAAACTGGAATAAAAGACCTGACCTGACCAACCCTGACCTGAACTAAACTGGAATAAAGTTAACTGACCTGACCTGACCCGACCTGACCTGAACTAAACTGGAATAAAAGTTCTGACCTGACCCGACCTGACCTGAACAGATTTCACTGGAATAAAAGTGAACTGAACCGACCCAACCCGACCTGATCAGACCTGACCTGACCTGAACTAAACTGGAATAAAAGTGAACTGACCCGACCTGGACCTGAATTGAACTAAGCTGGAATAAAAGTGAACTGACCTGACCCAACCCGACCCGACCCGACCTGACCTGAACTAAACTGGAATAAAAGTTAACTGACCTGACCCGACCTTACCCGACCTGACCCGACCCGACCCGATCAGACCTGACCTGACCTGAACTAAACTGGAATAAAAGTGAACTGAACCGACCCAACCCGACCTGATCAGATCCTACCTGACCTGAACTAAACTGGAATAAAAGTGAACTGACCCGACCCGACCTGACCTGACCCGAACCGATCAGACCTGACCTGACCTGAACTAAACTGGAATAAAAGTTAACTGACCTGACCCGACCTTACCCGACCTGACCCGACCCGACCCGATCAGACCTGACCTGACCTGAACTAAACTGGAATAAAAGTGAACTGAACTGACCCAACCCGACCTGATCAGATCTGACCTGACCTGAACTAAACTGGAATAAAAGTGAACTGACCCGACCTGACCCGACCTGATCAGACCTGACCTGACCTGAACTAAACTGGAATAAAAGTTAACTGACCTGACCCGACCTGACCCGACCAGATCAGATTTGACCTGACCTGAACTAAACTGGAATAAAAGTGAACTGAACCGACCCAACCCGACCTGATCAGACCTGACCTGACCTGAACTAAACTGGAATAAAAGTGAACTGACCCCACCTGACCCGACCTGATCAGACCCGACCTGACCCGACCTAAACTGACCTGACCTGAACTAAACTGGAATAAAAGTGAACTGACCTGACCCGACCTGACCCGACCCGATCAGACCCGACCTGACCTGACCTGAACTAAACTGGAATAAAAGTTAACTTACCTGACCCGACCTGACCCGACCCGACCCGACCCGACCTGACCTGACCCGAACCGATCAGACCTGACCTGACCTGAACTAAACTGGAATAAAAGTGAACTGAACTGACCCAACCCGACCTGATCAGATCTGACCTGACCTGAACTAAACTGGAATAAAAGTGAACTGACCCGACCTGATCAGACCTGACCTGACCTGAACTTGACTGGAATAAAAGTGAACTGACCCGATCCGACCCGACCCGACCCGACCCGATCAGACCTGACCCGATCCGATCCGATCCGATCAGACCTGACCTGACCTGAACTAAACTGGAATAAAAGTGAATTGACCCGACCCAATATGAACTGATCTGACTTTTTACTGGCATTCTAGAAGTCGAAACGTCGAAGTTGTATATCCATAAAAAGTGTCCTCATTCTTGAACTGAACTGAATAAAAGCGAACTGAACTGACCCATTTCGACATGACCCAACCAGACCTGAACTGATCTGAACTGAATCGAACTGAACTGAACAGAAGCAAACTGAACTGAGCTGCACGGGACTGATAATCTGATACTAATTGTCGTTACCTAATTTGGGTTTTGACAATATGCTCTATTTCGTTTAACAAACTGTCCAAATTTAGAATAGTTATATTATGTTATTACTATATAACTATCATAGTAAATGGTTGATGTTTGGTGTGCGAAAAAAGGAGTAATGATTTATTTATACTAATCATAATGATATTGATATATTCGTTTACTGACCAGCTTTATAGTGTCCTGCTTTCCGACGGAATAGTTGACGATGAGGTAGACGAGCATGATGATGGTGGTGATGACGAGGATGAAGATTTCATACGGGCGTTCCTTCAGTACCCCGTGCACCAGATAGAACAAGCAGAAGCCTACGGATGAAGAACTGTGCGATTGAGGAAGTTGGTTTTAATGGTGCTTTGAATGATCTTTCGGTCATCTAAGCGTGATGTGAAGATAGAAGCGATAACACCCTTTCCACATTCATACGAAATATCTGCCCTTATGAGCAGATATTTGTTTCAGCAGTATTACAGCTGTATGATGTTGTTTGTGAACAAATCGGGTCTGAACCAGACAATCCAGTGATTGTCACCATGCAATACGATGACAGAGCATGTGTTCATGAATCACTATGAAATAGTGATGATACCAGGTGTTCGCGAAAAGGTGGGAGTATTCTGCCCCACCGGTGGCACCCGTCATAAACATATGCTAAGTCTAGTCATTTGTTCACCTGAAATAATTCGGGAACGTATGGTATAAGTCAAAATAGGGAATTGCATCGGACAATCGGACAATCCCCAAATGGCGTTTGCCCTGCATGTCAACCTCGTTGGTGAAACCCATGCACAAGAATGTTCATGCGAAAAAACCCAGGATCTTTATCAGAACGAATCTAATATGTGTGTCGACGATCAGCGAATCCTGACATGACTAAGGGATATAACTCTATTCAGCTAAATGCGACGACTAATACCACTGTATCCAGCACAGGTATGTGTATAGATTTAACTGTTTACTCACATACCAGTGTAATCTAATCCGCTATAGTCTTCAGATGTCTTGTTTGGTTCAGTTGTTGTTCTACGCCGCACTCAGTAATATTCCAGCTCTATGGCAGCGGTCTGTAAATAATCGAGTCTGGACGAGACAACCCAGGGATCAACATCATGAGCATCGATCTACGCAGTTGGGATACGATGACATGTGTCAACAAGGTCAGCGAACCCCACTACCCGATCCCGATCCTTCGGGGTGTAATAGCAATATATCTTGGTAACTTAGAATTTTTGCCTTAGGAATTTGCTTAGAATGCGTTAATTAGAAGAGACGTACATGCATTGACAATGATGACGAGGGCGAACACGAAGTCCGTTTGGTGTTTGTCCACAGTGGCCAGCTTGTAGATGGTGAAGCCAGTGGATGCGACAATGGCGATTGCAGATACAACGAGGAACACCAATTCCTTCCTTTCAATATCTTGGATCCTCCGAATCTGAAATTAGATTGGGATTTAATGCAGTTGTTCATGCCACAACAAGCGACATCAAGAATAGTGAGTGAGTGAGTTGTATTTTACGCCGCTTTAGCAATATTCCAGCAATATCCCGGCGGGGCACACCAGAAAAGGGCTTCACACATTGTACCCTTGTGGGTAATCGAACCCGGGTCTTCGGTGTGCCGAGCAGACGCTTTAACCACTAGGCTACCCACCGCCCCACATCAAGAATTGGTTCTACATATTGAACTTGTGATACTTCTGGAATGTTGTTCAAAGCAAAGTTATAACTAACCTGCACCTTAGTATAATAGCATAATATAACTTAGCATTGTTTTCCTGATACTCTAAGACTTTTAAGACTTCATGTTAAAATCGTTCGCTGTTTTGGTGGTGACATCGCTTCATTTGCCCAACAATTTCTTGTTTCGACGGTTTGTTGATAGAAACCTTCTCCAACATAGATGGTATTATTGCTCGAGTGCAGCCCACAAGCTCTGTGTCTTGCGACCAGTAATCGAAACTGAAACCCGACTCCAAAACGCAAGATTTACGAGCAGTAATTTAATCCTTGACGCAAAGTGCCCTTCCTCCTGTCTAAACTTTACAAGGTCTCACTGTTACGGGTACAGGATAACGCGGCAAAGGGCGATGCACAGATATTTTTTCTATAATGAGTGAGTGAGTTTAGTTTTACGCCGCACTCAGCAATATTCCAGCTATATGGCGGCGGTCTGTAAATAATCGAGTCTGGACCAGACAATCCAGTGATCAATAGCAGGGCATCGATCTGCGCAATTGGGAACCAATGACATGTGTCAACCAAGCCAGCGAGCCTGACCACCCGATCTCGTTAGTCGCCTCTTACGACAAGCATGGGTTACTGACGGCCAATTCTAACCCGGACCTTCACGGGTATATCTTTTCTATAGGGATCGGGGTACAATTTAAAAAATATAATCGCATTCATTCAGAAAACGTTTTGCGTTTGTAAGCCAAAACTTGAGTTGATTGGATCCGGTTCTGTCGCGCTGTGACTAAGTGGTAGAGCGTGGTTGCCTTGGCTAGCTATCCCCTCCGGCGGGGACGTGCGACACATGTACTTCACACCTTGGATGGCACACACGACAGCCGCGTTATAACCGAGTGTATCCGAGAGTTGGGATGACTGATATGTCTGGCTGATAGCGGCAGCATGAAGGACACCATGCATGTCAGAGGGAGAACACTGTTCATGGTCAACGGCTGATGACATACATTTGAGATCTGAATTGGCGTGTTTTCAAAAGTGAGGGGTTTTACATTAACTTTTATGTCAATTTCTTCAAAGTTTCTAGGTTTTGGGTGTTTATTAGTTGTTTAACGCTGTACTTAGCAATATTCCAGCTATGTGGCGGCGAGCTGTATATAATCGAGTCTGGAGCAGACAATCCAGTGATCAAGAGCATGAGCATCGATCTACGCAGTTGGGAACCGATGACATGTGTCAACCAGGTCAACGAGCATGACCACTCGATCCCGTTAGTCGCTTTTTACGACAAGCATTGGTTTCGGAACACAATTCTAACTCGGATCTTCGCGCGGAGTTTCGTATTTTAATCTGAAATTAACAGTGAACCAAATAAAAATAAACTCTTCAGTGAAAGCGAAAGGCTGTAGTAATCTAAGCTGTCGAGCATTTTGTTTTCTGTTGTGTGAATGTTTGAATGCAGGTCCATCGGAATTAACCGACTTTTATATATTTGTTTTAATTTTAGAATTGGGTAGGTGACTCTTGACCATCATGGCATGGTAAACGTATGTTCAGCCATCAGCTGTTGCTCCTGTTTCAACCTGCCACTACGTCGCAACATGGAACATATAAGGCCAGCATACCAGGAAGGGAGGGAGTTTAGTTTAACGCCGATTTTAGCAATATTCCAGCAATATGACACCAGAAATAGGCTTCACACATTGTACGCATGTGGGGAATCGAACCCGGGCCTTCAGCGTGACGAGAGAACGCTTTAATCAGTCGGTTACTTCCACCGCCCTGCCAGTATATGAACTGAGGGTGGAATCTGCCAAAACCCTGTATTAGTACTATAAAGGTTTACCTTCGATCTACACTATATATATTATGGACGATGACATCCGACCGATCTCTTGCACTGGGTGAAGTATGATGGACGCCGGTACCCATTTTCTAACAGTAGGAGATGCATTGTGGACGCCAATATCCACCTGCAATCTTACAGTAGGAGATGCATTATAGACTCCGACATCCACCTGGCATCTTACAGTAGGAGATGCATTATGGGTGAAGACATCCACCTGGCATCTTACAGTAGAAGATGCATTATGGACGCCAATATCCACCAGGCATCTTACAGTAGGAGATGCATTATGGACGCCAATATCCACCTGGCATCTTACAGTAGGAGATCCATTATAGACTCCGACATCCACCCGGCATCTTACAGTAGAAGATGCATTATGGGTGAAGACATCCACCTGGCATCTTACAGTAGGAGATGCATTATGGACGCCAATATCCACCAGGCATCTTACAGTAGGAGATCCATTATAGACTCCGACATCCACCTGGCATCTTACAGTAGGAGATGCATTATGGGTGAAGACATCCACCTGGCATCTTACAGTAGGAGATGCATTATGGACGCCAATATCCACCAGGCATCTTACAGTAGGAGATCCATTATAGACTCCGACATCCACCTGGCATCTTACAGTAGAAGATGCATTATGGACTCAGACATCCACCTGGCATCTTACAGTAGGAGATGCCATTATAGACTCCGACATCCACCTGGCATCTTACAGTAGAAGATGCATTATGGATGAAGACATCCACCTGGCATCTTACAGTAGGAGATGCATTATAGATCCACATCCACCTATCTTACAGTAGAGATGACACATCCACCTGGCATCTTACAGTAGAAGATGCATTATGGATGAAGACATCCACCTGGCATCTTACAGTAGGAGATGCATTATGGACTCAAGATATCTACCAGGCATCTTACAGTAGGAGATCCATTATAGACTCATCCACCCGGCATCCACCCGGCATCTTACAGTAGGAGATCCATTATAGACTCCTGACATCCACCCAGCAGATCCATTATAGAGATCCATTATGGGTGAAGACATCCACCCGGCATCTTACAGTAGGAGATGCATTATGGGTGAAGACATCCACCTGGCATCTTACAGGAGATGCATTATAGACTCCGACATCCACCAGGCATCTTACAGTAGGAGATGCATTATAGACACCGACATCCACCCCAGCATCTTACAGTAGGAGATCCATTATAGACTCCGACATCCACCGGGCATCTTACAGTAGGAGATCCATTATAGACTCCGACATCCACCTGGCATCTTACAGTAGGAGATGCATTATAAACTCCGACATCCACCCGGCATCTTACAGTAGGAGATGCATTATAGACTCCGACATCCACCTGGCATCTTACAGTAGGAGATGCATTATAGACTCCGACATCCACCTGGCATCTTACAGTAGGAGATGCATTATGGGTGCCGACATCCACCCGGCATCTTACAGTAGGAGATGCATTATGGGTGAAGACATCAACCTGGCATCTTACAGTAGAAGATGCATTATAGACTCCGATTTCCACCCGGCATCTTACAGTAGGAGATCCATTATAACCTCTGACATCCACCCGGCATCTTACAGTAGGAGATGCATTATGGGTGAAGACATCCACCTGGCATCTTACAGTAGGAGATCCATTATAGACTCCGACATCCACCCGGCATCTTACAGTAGGAGATGCATTATAGACTCCGACATCCACCTGGCATCTTACAGTAGGAGATGCATTATAGACTCCGACATCCACCTGGCATCTTACAGTAGGAGATCCATTATAGACTCCGACATCCACCTGGCATCTTACAGTAGGAGATCCATTATAGACTCCGACATCCACCCGGCATCTTACAGTAGGAGATGCATTATAGACTCCGACATCCACCCGGCATCTTACAGTAGGAGATGCATTATAGACTCCGACATCCACCCGGCATCTTACAGTAGGAGATCCATTATAGACTCCGACATCCACCTGGCATCTTACAGTAGGAGATGCATTATGGGTGAAGACATCCACCCGGCATCTTACAGTAGGAGATCCATTATAGACTCCGACATCCACCAGGCATCTTACAGTAGGAGATGCATTATAGACACCGACATCCACCCGGCATCTTACAGTAGGAGATCCATTATAGACTCCGACATCCACCGTAGCAGATCATTATAGACAGTCCACCTGGCATCTTACAGTAGGAGATCCATTATAGACTCCGACATCCACCCGGCATCTTACAGTAGGAGATCCATTATAGACTCCGACATCCACCTGGCATCTTACAGTAGGAGATGCATTATAGACTCCGACATCCACCTGGCATCTTACAGTAGGAGATGCATTATGGGTGAAGACATCCACCCGGCATCTTACAGTAGAAGATCCATTATAGACTCCGACATCCACCCGGCATCTTACAGTAGAAGATGCATTATGGACGCCGACATCCACCCGGCATCTTACAGTAGGAAATGCATTATGGGTGAAGACATCCACCCGGCATCTTACTGTAGAAGATCCATTATAGACTCCGACATCCACCCGGCATCTTACAGTAGGAGATGCATTATGGACGCCGACATCCACCCCAGCATCTTACAGTAGGAGATGCATTATAGATGCCGACATCCACCCGGAATCTTACAGTTGGAGATGCATTATGGACGCGTTCATCCACCCGACATCTTACAGTAGGAGATGCATTATGGACGCCGACATCCACCCGACATCTTACAGTAGAAGATGCATTATGGACCCCGACAGCCGGTGTGTAACACAATGTGTGAGCATCGTATCAGGCCTGTCTTTAATTCATACGACAAAGGACCAAGGTTTTGGTCGCAACAAACTTTCCATTATCTACAAGACTATCCCACTTGCACCACCTATCAGCACACACACACAAAACATTTTTGTGTCACACGTATGGATAGCTTATCAAGTACAGATGACATAGCGACAAAGTTAAGGTCAAGTTGTGCCGCAATAGAACGATTACAGATAATGGACCAGAGAGACCAGTATGCATCGAGCCCATCCATCCCCCCTTCTCTCTCTCTCTGTTGTTTTGTCTCCCCTCTCTCTCTCTCTCTCTTTTCTCTCTGTTGTTTTGTCTCACCTCTCTCTCTCTCTCTCTGTCTCTCTTTTCTCCCTCTCTCTCTCTGTCTCTCTCTCTCTCTCTCTCTCTCTCTGTGTCTTCTGTCTCTCTCTCTCTCTCTCTCTCTCTCTCTCTCTGCTCCCTCTCTCTCTCTCTCTCTCTCTCTCTCTCTCTCTCTCTCTCTCTCTCTCTCTCTCTCTCTCTCTCTCTCTCTCTCTACCATATATGTCTTACAGTGGGATATGTATTATAGACACCGGCACTTTTCTGTATACATCTGTTTATCATGTACAGTAAAATCGGCCTATGGACTCGGTGTTGAATGAATATAACACAGTATATACTGGCAATAGCTTTCAGAATTGCTATGTGTCCATGCTAAGCATAAAGATTGTAGATAGAGATCTTAACAATGCGATAACATACTTCATGGTGAACACGATATCTATATTGTGAATGGCCATGGACTTTTTTTCTATCTTGCTCAAGGTCCTTCAATATCGTGTGTCAGGGCGCTGGGACCTCCTTTAACGCCAATGACACAAAGCCTCCCTCCCTCCCTCCCTCACTCACCTTCCCAGCAACAGTGGTCTCTATCTGGGGACCTGTTGGTATCCCCAGGTCAGCGAAGGAGAGGGGTGGGCCGTCGTTGTCGTCGCCCGTCACCGCCTCCTGATCGTAGTTGGTGCTGCCGTATAATCCGGGCGTCGCCGATCCAGGTTTCACGCTTTGGTCCGGAGACACTGAACCGTTTTCCGGGGACGACATTGTCAACTTTTACCTCTCCCTAGAAATGTTGCTGACCGAACGAAGTCGTCTACGTCGATGGAAGTTAACTGCTCTACTTGCCGAGTATCCGGGTAAGTATGACGACACAAACCCTTCCGTGTTGACCTCCCCGCTACAACACTATCTAGCTGCCCCACTTTAACGCGGGCGACTGTCAGTGTAATCTGATCGGGCACACAGAACCTACTCTCGTAAGTGTCTGTCACTGACAACAGATGGATTAGCAACAATTGCATTGTCCATTAGTATTGTTCGTTGGTGACAGAGTGCATTACGTTTCTGCTATATCAAAGGCCATCGGTTACATTCGTGATTTAACATTGGACGACCTTTTGTATACATGTATATATATATTCCCCACTCATCCTGATATGGACTAACATCATTACTTCCGAGATCCAAATCACAACGCTCTAGGATGACCAGCGTGACTGTACCTGTCACGTAGCAGACATGAGGTATATCTTGTATCTCCAGACGTAAGGTGACATGAGGTATATGTTGTATATATAGAAGTAAGGTGACATGAGGAACATGTTGTATACAAATAAGGTGACATGAGGTATATGTTGTATATATAGAAGTAAGGTGACATGAGGTATATGTTGTATATAAAGAAGTAAGGTGACATGAGGTATATGTTGTATATATAGAAGTAAGGTGACATGAGGTATATGTTGTATATATAGAAGTAAGGTGACATGAGGTATATGTTGTATATAAAGAAGTAAGGTGACATGAGGTATATGTTGTATATATAGAAGTAAGGTGACATGAGGTATATGTTGTATAGAAGTAAGGTGACATGAGGTATATGTTGTATATATAGAAGTAAGACATGAGAGGTATATGTTGTATATATAAAGTAAGGTGACATGAGGTATATGTTGTATATATAGAAGTAAGGTGACATAGGTAGGTATATATGTTGTATATGTTGTATATATATGAGTAAGGTAAGGGTGACATGAGGTATATGTTGTATATATAGAAGTAAGGTGACATGAGGTATATGTTGTATAGAAGTAAGGTGACATGAGGTATATGTTGTATAGAAGTAAGGTGACATGAGGTATATGTTGTATAGAAGTAAGGTGACATGAAGATATAGAAGTAAGGTGACATGAGGTATATGTTGTATATAAAAAGTAAGGTGACATGAGGTATATGTTGTATAGAAGTAGTGAAAGGTGACATGAGGGTATATGTTGTATATAAGTAAGTATGAGATGACATAAAGAGGTATATGTTGTATATAAGTAAGGTGACATAAGGGTATATGTTGTATATAAAGTAGGTGAAATATGTTGTATGACATGAGGTATATGTTGTATATAAGTAGAAGTAAGGTGACATGACATAGAGGTATATATTGTTATATACATGAGGTATATGTTGTATATATAGTAAGGTGACATGATATATAGTAGGTATATGTTGTTATATAGAAGTAAGGTGACATGAGGTATATGTTGTATATATAGAAGTAAGGTGACATGAGGTATATGTTGTATATATAGAAGTAAGGTGACATGAGGTATATGTTGTATATATAGAAGTAAGGTGACATGAGGTATATGTTGTATATATAGAAGTAAGGTGACATGAGGTATATGTTGTATATATAGAAGTAAGGTGACATGAGGGTATATATGTTGTATATATAGAAGTAAGGTGACATGAGGTATATGTTGTATAGAAGTAAAAGGTGACATGAGGTATATGTTGTATATATAGAAGTAAGATGAAGTGACATGAGGTATATGTTTGTTACAGAAGTAGGTTGACATAGAAGTATATGGAAATGGACAGTGAATAAGAGGTGACATAGGGTATATGTTGGCCTGAAGTAAGGTGACATAGGTAGACAGTAAGGTGACATGGGTATATGTTGTATAGAATGGAGTGACATGAGTGAGATGTTTGTATATAAATCAGGTGACATGAGGTATATGTTGTTTAGAAGTAAGGTGACATGAGAGGTATATGTTGTATTAGAAGTATGTTGACATGAGGTATATATTTGTACAAGAATGTAGACATGAGGGTATATGTTGTACCAAGTGAGGCATGGGGTATATGTTATTACAAAGTATGGTGACATAGGGTATATGTTGTATATAGAAATGGGTACCATGAGGTATATGTTGTATAGAATGGAGTGGCATGAGGAGTAAATGTTGTACAGAAGTAAGAATTGACATGAGGTATATGTTGTATAGAAGTAAAGGTGTCATGACGTACATGTTGTATAGAAGTAAGGTGACATGAGGTATATGTTGTTTAGAAATGGGTGTATATGGGTCTATGTTGTATAGAAGTAAGTGGTATGAGGTATATGTTTCAAGAGGTAAGGTGATATGAGGTATATGTTGTATAGAAGTAAGGTGACATGAGGTATATGTTGTACAGAAGTAAGGTGACATGATGTATATGTTGTATAGAAGTAAGGTGACATGAAGTATATGTTGTATAGAAGTAAGGTGACATGAAGTATATGTTGTACAGAAGTAAGGTGACATGGGGTATATGTTGTATAGAGGTAAGGTGACATGAGGTATATGTTGTATAGAAGTAAGGTGACATTATGTATTAAATGGAGTATGAGTATGAGTATCGAGGAAATTATGTTCATATACTACAGCGTTCTACAATACACTTATATACCTTATATGAGTATGTTATCTACTACGAGTATCGAGGAAATTATGTTCATCTACTACAGCGTTCTACAATACACTTATATACCTTATATGAGTATCGAGGAAATTATGTTCATCTACTACAGCGTTCTACAATACACTTATATACCTTATATGAGTATCGAGGAAATTATGTTCATCTACTACAGCGTTCTACAATACACTTATATACCTTATATGAGTATCGAGGAAATTATGTTCATCTACTACAGCATTCACAATACATATATATACCTTTTCTGCAGTCACTTGTGAATTGAACTAAATGACGATAATGCACAGTATGATTCATGAGATTCCTGTCAACAGTAAGGTTGGATAATAGATCGATTTTATTCATGAGTGTTGGCCCTGGGGCCTACAGTACAATTACAGTTTGATTACTTTCACGTGGTGCTAGTAACATATTAAGTTTCTATTGGCATTGAATGCATATTTCAGATAAACGCTAATGGTATTAATTTCACAACACATTGTTTGATGTTAAAAGATTTGGCAATGTGTGTTCATACATTACAATTTTTGACAGACTTGGCAAATAATTAATAAATGATATTGATAGCATCTTGGTCATACAGTAATGACAATTTAAGGAGTGAAAAGTGAACGATAGGTCTTGTGGGAATTCAAAGATTCATTAAGACTGTAGCCGTCTAAGCGTAACTCTGTGTGTAATAATTGATAGTTTTTTTCAATGTCTTCAAGGACAGAAAACATGTAATATATTTCATAAGGGTATTATAGAACGCTGCAACGATTCGGCAGAGAAATACTATTGTGCCATTGCATTCCTTCTATGAACCTATCAGTGTATAACATTAGCATTCAGATATTGGTATAAAATAACTTAAAAATTCCAAATATTATCGTGTAATATGACATGAGATAGTGTTGTGTTCGCTGTGACAAAAAGGTTTCGCTATTCAAATATAACATTTAATCAAAGTGACTACGAAGTAGGCCTGCATATCACTCACAACAGAAATAGATACATAATAATGTTTTGTTTATTTTCCTACACATCAGTTGCGAGAGCAATGTTTATGCTAACTAAGTTTTCGTCAATTTATAAAGCATTTTTAAAAGATGATTTGCTTCAATTAAAACATTCGAAGAATGAAAAAGAAATTAGGCCTATTGCTGAAATGATTAGTAAAAATATAATTAAAATCCATCTATGGGAAGGGATGCCAGACGGACATATCCAAACAAAATCGGATAATTACTTGGAGTATAGACTTTCAAAAATAGCATAATTATTAACAATGTCAGTTTTTCCTAAAATCACTAATAATTCTGAAACGATGCCGATAAACCTGGAATCGTGTTCAGATGTTTTCATAAATACACTCACACGAATGCCCAAGTACACTTTGCGCCCTATTGGATAGGGACAAAATCACGTTTCGCGAAGGCCAGTATTGAAACGCCAGTTACATTTCATATTCAGCGGCGACAAATGAATCACTGAATTCTAAGGCTGGGACGGGTATTCGGGTACTCGAATCCGGGTCGGGTACAGCTGGAATCGAGTCCTATTTCTAGGAATCGAGTATCCGGAAAGGGAGAGAGCTCTGTAATGGCAAGGGCAGACAATAGCTTGTCCCTTTCATTTTTGACATAACACACATTTACATCATTGAGTGAGTGAGTGAGTTTAGTTTTACGCCGCAGTAAGCAATATTCCAGCTATATGGCGGCGGTCTGTAAATAATCGAGTCTGGACCAGACAATCCAGTGATCAACAGCATGAGCATCGATGTGCGCAAGTGTGAACCGATGACATTTGTCAACCAAGTCAGCGAGTCTGACCACCCGATCCCGTTAGTCGCTTCTTACGACAAGCATGGGTTACTGGTGATCAATATTCTAACCCGGAAATTCACGGGTTTTTACATCATTGGTATTGTCCGATTAATGGAGCTTAGTTTTAATGACTGTAATTTATCTGTGCATGAGCAGTGAGTAGTTAAGTTACAGTAGCAGCAGGAACGAAACGTTCGTTGTTATAACGAGGAATGTAAGTAATGGTGTTACTCTCTATATTGGTTAAACAGACGTAAATTAAATAGCTTGAGTTCAGTTTTATTGTCTTATTACCAACTGTTCAAGTTTTCTATAATAATCTCTGTCAAATCGTGATTGAATATTCAGAAAGTTGACCCGAATGTAGTTCTTACATTTCGGGGTACTCGATTCCGATTCGGGTACGTACATGCGGGTACTCGATTCTATTTTTTCCTACTCGTCCCAGACCTACTGAATTCCTCATACATATTAGAATCTAATTACAACTGGTCTTTGTCACCAATACCAAGCGTCTAGATAAACTGAAACGAAAGATATTGGGGGTGGAAACAAATGTTGTGCTCGAAAGACAACACC